CAAAACTGTTGTCAAACATTAATTTTCATTAAACACAAGACTGGGAGTAAAATGGTAATTTTATGTCATTCAGACTGTTGATTCAGAACAGTTTCCAAACAACTTTTTTCTATCTGGCACTAAATCATACAGAGTCTCTTAATCATCCTGACCACTTAATCATGCTGTACTAAACCATTCAGCAACTGCCAAACAGCCCCTTACATCAATAAATCATACAAACATAATTGCTACAAGGTGTGTTGTCTTTCTGACCCTCATATATCCATTACCCCTTTATAGCAACGGAAGTAGTAACCATTTAAGTCTGAATTAACCGTTAAATACATCTACAAATTTTCAGGACAAATTAAGCATTAATTCATTACAAAGAAATGAATGGCTGAAAAAATAGAGTTTGGCATGTTTAATGTGAAGGCCTTAACTTGCAATTACCGAAACTTGGGTTCCATTTTTGCTAATTTTGGAAAATGGAGTCATCTTCTTCAACCCAACTATTTGTATGTCAAAAAAATCTAACAATTTAATTTTCATTGGAACAATTTGTATTTATCACTTAACAATTATATTGAAGTTTTAATTAATATATGATATTTGGTTTCATGTTTTTTACATTTTTTTCTGATATTTATAGGATTTACAAATTTTAAATCAATAAAAAACAGGAAATTTATTTTTCTGGAACCGAACGATTTCAGGCGGATTAATCGGGTGGAAATTTAAAAAAAAAAAAATTAAATAAAATACTGAAAATGATTGTTTAAATAATAAAAGTCAATGGTGAATTAAATTACTCACATATTAAATTACCGACGGATATTATGCCGGAGCTTAATTTAATTTTTAAAAATAAAATCAATTTGATAAAGAAATTAAAATTTATTTATATTAAATAATTGCCATAAATCCACCGATAATCTAATCCTAATTACTAATTAAGTACTTAAGTCGGGAAAAAAGAAAATTTGAAAAAAAAAACTAGTAGCGGGTTTCTCATGGCCAATATTTGTCTAAAAAGGTAAATCCGTTAAATTAAATAATCGTCGAAAATATGCCGATAATTTAATCAAAATTACTAATTAAAGTAATTAACTCAGGAACAAATTAAAATTTAAAAAAAAAACTGGTGGCGGATTTCCCACGGCCGGTATTTGCTGTAAAAGGTAAATCCGTCGGTAATTCCACCAGTAAGTCACATTTCTAGTGGATTTCCAGCAGATTTTTCGTCGAAAAAAGTTCCTTGTTTTATAATGTTATTAAAATATTCAATAGATTTATTATTTTCAAAGACTTTTGTATAAATTTTATTTAAAGTGATAATTTATTCAATTTTATTGATGAGAACAACAAAATAATATTTTATTTAAAATGATAATATATAACGGGTGACCTTGACGAGCGCAATGCTCATATAGGGTTTCTGTTTTGCTTATGAGAAAGATTTGTCTCAGGGTAAGGTCTTGATATGTTACAACAAATTTTGGTTGTTGACCATGCGCTTTCAAGAATATTTTCAATAGCCATTTTTGCAGTACTCGATAGTTTCACTACTAAGCAAGGTAGCACCAAACTGCCCAGGTTTTTTCCGATTACCCACACTAAATGAGGTGAAAAAAGACAATGTTATGCAAGTAATCTTGATTATTAATAAAAGTTTACGAATAAATAACTATAAGTTATAAATGTGTTACTTGTTAGTGCAAAATGTGACATAAAATGAAATAACATATCTCCCAAATTCGGTGTTATTGAACTTTCCCAAAATTAAACTTGGTTGTTTCATTCCCATTTCTTTAATCAAAATGGATAAGGGATGTTCACTTAATATTTTTTTTTTATACTTGCATCATTTTATTTTTGTATAGACACCTAAATAAACCATTTTTTTATGTTTATTTTACATATATATGTGTTTATGCAGTGTTGTTTCATATATAAAACGTTCATGACTGTTTGGTTGTAGAAAAAGTAGTCGCTTACGTTTAACATATGAAACGACGTTGTATAAACACGACATTTTCATATATGATGAAACATGTACATAAAAACCGATTTATTAATTTATACAAATCGTTGGTTTTCTAAAGAATAGGATTGTGCATGTATAATATTTTACATGTGTGTAAGATATATATATATAGTGTGAATGTATGAGATAATGTGTATATGTATATGTTTATCCGTGTGAATGTATGTTCATAAAATTAATGGTGATTCATGGACAAATGTCATGATACTTTTTATAATTAATGAACCTGTATATGTGTAAAATATTTTTTTGACTTAAGCAAGTAATTTGGCTGGTATGTTTTAGAATGTTGTTGAAATTAGATACGATTTTTCTATTTATTTGTAATGAAATATTAATAATTTTTAGGATAAAATGAATAAAAATACATATTTAACATAGAAAATTATTAGTATATAATGAATCGTCAAAGTTTCTGAAAAAAAAAACTTTTCCTTCCGTCACTGTGACAAAATTTTATAATTTCTTATAGAAATTTCATCGATCTTTAGGCCCTCATCGATGCATTTGTATGGAAGCAAGGCCTACACTCGGGTATGCATTAGATTGTATCTTTTACATTGTATTTTGCGAACGTCCTTGGGGGAGGATGGGACGAGCGTCTGCTCAGAACCCAAAACAGATAGGCCCCATTTTTTATTATATATGTACTTTATATATTTAATTTACTTAGCTCCTTTCGCTCATCTCCGTCGTCCACAACCCTGTTTCATTTTTCTAACTTTGTCTTCAAGCACATATTTTTTGACTTGTTTATCGATTCAGTTTCAGGTTTTCGATTTTTGTGTTATGCTTCAATTTCAAATTTGATGTTATATTCTAAAAATGATTTCTTGAATTATTGATTTAGATTAGAAAAATACTCTTTTAGTGCAATATGTAATTTTGTTTAGGGTTGATTTCTTGAATTCTTGTCTTGTGTTTTAGATTTAAATTTACATGTAGGAATTTTACCATTTAGGTTTCATTTGATTTTCTTGTCTTGATGTTATATTCTAAAAATGATTTCTTGAATTCTTGATTCAGATTTTTTTTTGTAATTTAATTATAAAATGACACACAATAAAATCTAACTTTAAGTTTTTTAGAACCAATCATTAACTTTTTACATCTTAAAAAACCTTCATGTTTTACATGCGAAAGTGTCATCATCATAAACTTGCTATATATTGGGACTCATCCGTCAAGATTTGGGCACATCAGCTAGCTCAAGCTATTCACCTCATCTTCAACCCTTTTCTGAATGGCATCAAAAACATACGAGGAGTTGCATGGGAGCAACAACTGGGATGGTCTTCTTGACCCTTTGGACCCAGGCCTACGAACTCTTATTCTTGGCTATGGTGATCTTTCTTCAGCTGCTGAACGGGCATTCAATAACGATGATGGCTCCAGGTACGCTGGCTGCAGCTGCTACGGCAAAAGCTCCTTCTTCCAAGGAGTTATGCTCCCTTGGGCTGAATCCAAGTACACCGTCACTTCTTTCATCTACACCACTGCTCATGTCGACTTCCCACTTTCTTCTCTCATCAGTCCCATGTCTCGTGAAAATAGTGAATTCGAATCAAACTGGATGGGGTTTCTAGCAGTTTCCAAGGATGAGTTTAGTAAGTCCATCGGCTGCCGTGAAATATGCGTGGTGTGGCGTGGGACTGTCCGAACTTACGAGTGGATAAATGATATCAAAGACGTCAAGCCAGTTACACCTGACCTACCGATCCCTTCTGGAAATGGCGGGAGTACTACCGGAGGTACACCCAAAATCATGGAAGGGTGGCTCATAATCTACAACACAAGTAACCCAAATTCCGAATCCGTGAAAACAAGTGCTAGAACACAACTCTTGGCACAAATCAGAGGGTTACTGGTTATGTACAAAGATGAAAAAATTAGCATAACGTGCACCGGACACAGTCTTGGTGCAAGCCTAGCAATTGTATCTGCTTTTGACCTTGCTGCGAATGTTGCAACGCCTGATATCAAGGTATCGGCATTTGTTTTTGCTTCTCCACGAGTGGGTAACCAGGATTTCAAAGAAAAGATGGAGGAACTACACAACCTCAAAGTAATGAGCATAAAGAATGTGAATGATATCGTCCCTAAGTGGCCAAGCAAGGTAATGGAATGGGATGACGACAAAATTAAATTTATGAGTATACCAAAACATGTGCTGTCGTACGTCGATGTTGGGATCGATATACTGATTGACAGCAAAAATTCACCATACTTCAAAGAGAAGGATGGGTTGGATGTCTCACAAGTTATTGATTTCCATAACTTGGAGGGTATGTTGCATCTTGTGGCTGGCTACGATGGGAAAGATCGAGAGTTTGATTGGAAATCAATAGTGAAGAGGAGGAGTTTGGCTTTGGCGAACATGTGTGGTGATCTTCTGAAAGAGAAGTACAAGATACCTCAGTCATGGTGGACTGAGAAGAACAAAGGAATGGTGCTTAATGATAGTGGGGATTGGGTTTTATCACCAATCGATCATGATGATCACGATCTATCGCCTACCAAGTAATATACAACGTTTGATGATCATGATCTACCATGAACATACCCGTTTTACCAATCGATCATGTGGTAAAATAAATGACTTCTTTGATTGTGATCAAAGGTGTCAATGTTATTCTATAAACCCATATCATAAGTATATGCAAATTATGGAACGTAATAATGTTTATTGTATGATATTTGAAGTTAATTGTACCACGATTTTATGATTGTGTTTTACCATCTATATATGTCTCATTTTTTGTTTAACAATTTTTGTTCTACGATAACTAATATTATATATATAACTGATTATCTTTTATAAAATCCCGTTTTTCGATCTTTGCCAGTTAGAATATGAGGCCTGAATCAACCATTAAATAAATTTACATTTTGTGGGACAAATTCAACATTAGTTTGCTACAAAACAATTACATTCAACTTTAACAATTTTCTTCATTTTGAAAATTATAATATTAATAATATTATATGTGATAAAATATTAATTCTCATTCTTAGGCATTTAATTTTCATGTTTCTTATTTATTAAAAAAGTTTTTTTTTTCTCTCATGATCATATTTTTTAAGAGTTGTAGATCTAAATTTGAAAAATGTCACACTCTAACTCCTACTTTCTCCATTTAATTTTAAAAAAAAATTTGGAAATTTTATTGGAGTAAAATATTCATTCTCTCTGTTTAAAGAAACATTTTTGAGAAGCAATAAAATATCAATTTACCAAATAAATTAGCCATCTATATATTTAACTTGCATCAATATACCATACAAATACAAGTACTACGAAGTGTGTTGTCTTTTTTATCCTCATATATACATTTTCCCTTTAGAGCTACTTTCACTCAAATAGTAATTAATCATTTGAAAAAATGTTTTAAAAATAATATAGTTATAACAGTTTATGGTTTTATATAGTATATTTAAATCGTTGTTAAATAGTTTTCAAATAAGGTCAAATTCATTGACTGATAGATCACTGTAAAAGAAAATTCACATGAGTTTTTCGATGATAAGGAAAATCGTTGGTGATCCATCAGTACTGATTCCAAAAGTTACTGAATAATTATCAATAATTGTAAAAAAATAGTCATTAAAAAATCAAAATCAGGTATCTAATTGATTTTCTTATTAAATATTTGATTTTCTTATTATAATTGTAATAAACAACTTTTTTTTATATTTATTACACTAACAACGTTTTTTATATGTATTGTAACAGGTTTTGGTATTTATACAAGAAATACCACCTTTTTAAATTATTTTTAAAAAATATATATGAATTACAGACGGATTATCGAAAGGAACTATACTATTAGATATATCCGTCAATAACTAATTGGTAATCCATTGGTGATTGTACTCTTCAATATTTTGTCAATGAAGCTTTTCGTTGGTAAATCGTCGATCCGAGCCTTCAGAGAGCGACCCTTGATATTATCCTTTGGTAAGTCATCGACGATAGTAGCCCTCGACTGATCCACCATTGTAATGGCCCTGAGTGAGCGAGCCTCACAGATGATACCCTTTCGTAACTCCTCAGTAAAGCTAAGTCTTCACCCACGAAAGTTCGATCGATTGACCTTCACCGACAAATCACCTAGGACTTGGTTTTCATCCACAAATCGTTGATGACTATATCCTTTCGGTAAAGTTCTTAGATTTGAATTGTCAAAATATCATGTATATTGACATTCCTACAAAGATAAGCATGCATTTTTCTTGAGTCATCGTGGTCCCTATTGACTATAGATAATATTTGTGACAATCTGTGAAATATGCGCTACTCAAATATTTATTTTCAAAGATATTTTGTCGGTAATTAAGACCCTCGCAAATCCGTAGATAAACGGACCATCTAAAATTTGTCAGTAAAAAGTGACTTTTGAAAATCTGTCAGTAAAAATGGATTGTTGAAGTTTGTTAGTAAAGTGAGCACTCAAGAATATGTCAGTGCTTTTCTTGACCCTGTTTTGGCCGTCAGCCCTTCACCGATTGATTTGCAACTCTTTTACCGACGGATTTCAAACGGATTTTTCATTGATAAAAGCCTTCTTTTTGTTAGCTACAATTTAAATCTCACAAGTTTAGCAAGACCAACTTATTTTATTGTTACATAAAACTGCATGAGACCATCAGAATCTCATGTCACCTCACTAATCTCAATGACACACCACACATATCTCCCTGTGCAAATAAAAACCATGTCGATGCATTATTAAAGCATCACATATTATTAGGGGTGAGCAGCGGAACCGGGTACCCGGCTATGGAACCGGAACCGCCTTGGAACCGCCGGTTCCGGAACCGATATGAGTGGTTCCGGTTCCGGTTCCGGTTCCTAAAATACGGAACCGATTGAGAATGGTTCCGGTTCCGGTTCTCAATTTTTCGGAACCGTTACCCGCCGGGTACCCGGTATTTTTAAATAAAAAAATTATTATTATTTTTTAATACCAAATTTATATTAGGTTTACATCTTGAAAGCACGCCGTCATCTTCATTCTTCATCTAAATTCTTCATATAGAATGGTTCATATTTTTTTAAATTGTGTGTTCAATTGGATTCATAGTATGTAATTGTTAAACTTTGAAAATTTAC